CCCCATCAACAATATCTATCCAAACGTACAGTTATCGCGTAAACCTGTATTCTAGTCGGATATATTATAAAAGAGAAGTTGTCGGTCTGTACGTCTGTGTGTCACAAAAGAAAAGTGTCATCCACATCTGGGTGTCTTGCGCCGGAACGGCGCCATCCAGGAGCGTGAAATTTGGCAGGCACCAAGCGTGGTCAAATCGAACGATCGTATCAAAATTTGGGCGCAATCCGACCAGGGGTGCGTCTCTGGCAGGGTCAAGAGCACGAGGCACGCTCGCCATTGGTTTAACACGCGGCGCGAAAAATGGCGATATTGGCCGAAATCGGTCCGACGCGTGCTCCTTTCCGGGCCTATATCTTGACGACCAGTTGTCACAGCGACACGCGGTTGCCACCGATCGATAGAGGAGAGATACAGCTAGCGTATTGATATGTTTTTATAACGTTGGGCGCGTCACGTGCACATCAGGACCAATTGTTGTGAAAAAATGACCGATTTCGTGCCTCGTGGAGGCAAAATCGGTGCCGTTTGAAAACGGTTTGACCGAATGAAATCGGTGTGGTACCATTTTTTAGGTAATTGCACGTGTGATGCAATGAATGAAAAGAAAAAGTGATTGTTACTACCAGTTCCTTAATAATGAAAAATTTATTTGAAAGTTTGATGCGCACCGAGTGCGCTGTCCTTTACAACATCATAACGCATCGAAAACGTTGAAAATTGACCATGAAACACACATATTCGGAGAGCTCATTCTTTTCTGATCAATATCCACCCAAAACATTATCAAAAAGTCAATAAACATCCGTGAAAATGACTCAGGCATGCCACCGTGTTTTGTTAACGTTAGACATATTTTCCGATGAAATCCGATCGATGGCTTATAGCCATCGATCGGATCGTCTTCAAACATTTGACCATCAGTCAGCACGGCATAGGCTGCAAGGCACCGCCCGCTTAGGGATATCGTAAACCCTTGAAAATTGTACTTGCATATAACTCAGCCGTTTCTGGGCCGATTGCGCTGAAACTTGGACTGTCGGCAGGCAGGGCACTCACCAAGCGATGTAGGGTCATGTGTCACAGGTGGGGGTGGACTCATGCACGTGCGCACGTGTGGGGTCCCTTTCTACATCTCAAGAACGGCTGGGCCGATTTCACTCACATTTTGCACACTGTTAGGGACAATTTAGACAGGTGGCTTACATAAGTCATCCGGAGTCTCAGTAAGCGCGTGCGCACGTGCAGGGGCCCATTTATATATCTCAAGAACAGGTAGGACGATAGCACTCAAATTTGGTAAAACCCCTCGGTCAAGTATGAGTGGGGCATGAGTATGCCGGCTATAGGTAGGATACGATATGGGAAGGGTAGGGTATTGGTAGGGTAGGGTAGGGTAGGGTAGGGTAGGGTAGGGTAGGGTAGGGTAGGGTAGAGTATGGGTAGGGTATTGTATAGGATAGAGGTAGTTTTTGGTATGGGTAGGATAGGGTAGAGGTAGGTTTGCCGTTTGGGTAGGGTAGGGTAAAGTTGGGTATGATAGGGTATAAGCTAGACATAGGGTAGGGTATGGGTAGGGTATGTATATTGGTAGGGTAGGGTAGGGCCTTTTGCGGCTTTTCCGATTGGCGGCGGTTAGGCGTGCGATGTGGGCGGTTTCCTTTGTTGCGGCGTTTGCGGCGTTTTGCGGTTGGCGGCGGGCAGGCGTGCGATGCGGGCGGTTTTTTGCGGCGGTGTTTGCGTTTTTGCGGTGTTTGCGTTTATCGGCACGCGGTCGTTTTTTGCGGCGTTTTGCGGTTGGCGGCGGGCAGGCGTGCGATGCGGGCGGTTTTTTGCGGCGGTGTTTGTGTTTGGTGGCGGTCGGGCGGGCGATGCGGGCGGTTTTGATTTGTTTCCGGAGTTTTTGCGTTTTTTGCGGTTTACGGCGGGCGGGCGATTTTTTATTTGTTTTTATTTATTGCGACGCTTGCGTTGGCGTTTCGGGCGTGCGTTTTGCGTTTGGGGCGGGCGGGCGCTTTTTTTCCTTTTTTCGGTGTTTGCGTTTGGGGCGAGCGGGCGCTTTTTTTGCGGTGTTTGCGTTTGGTGGCGGGCGGGCGATTTTTAGGCGTTTTCGGTCGGCGGTTAGCGTGCGTGCGATGCGAACGGTTTTATTTTTGCGGCGTTTTTACGTTTTTTTTTTGCGTCGGGCGGGCGATTCTTTATTTTTTGCGACGTTTGCGTCGGCATTTCGGGCGTGCCTTTGGCGCATTTTGCGGTGTTTGCGTTTTGCGGCGGGCGGGCGGCGTTTCACAATTCAAAGTCCCAACATTCGGATCTCCATAGCTCCTCGAAAAGCCATACACACCTACTATACAGTTTAATGAAGAAACTAACAAACTCTACTTATTAAACCTAGAAGTTTTGACAACCAAACTGATAATCCCCTTAATATATCTCGAACCTATACAGTTATCGCGTAAACCTGTATTCTAGTCGGATATATTATAAAAGAGAAGTTGTCGGTCTGTACGTCTGTGTGTCACAAACGAAAAGTGTCATCCACATCTGGGTGTCTTGCGCCGGAACGGCGCCATGTAGGGGCGTGAAATTTGGCAGGCTCCAAGCGTGGTCAAATCGAACGATCGTATTAAAATTTGGGCGCAATCCGACCAGGGGTGCGTCTCTGGTAGGGTCAAGAGCACGAGGCACGTTCGCCATTGGTTTAGCACGGGGCGCGAAAAATGGCGATATCGGCCGAAATCGGTCCGACGCGTGCTCCTTTCCGGGCTTATATCTTGACGACCGGTTGTCACAGCGACACGCGGTTGCCACCGATCGATAGAGGAGCGATAAAGCTAGCGTATTGATGTGGTTTTATAACGTTGGTCGCGTCACGTGCACATCAGGACCAATTGTTGTGAAAAAATTACCGTTTTCGTGCCTCGTGGAGGAAACATCGGTGCCGTTTGAAAACGGTTTGGCCGAATGAAATCGGTGTGGTACCATTTTTTAGGTAATTGCACGTGTGATGCAATGAATGAAAAGAAAAAGTGATTGCTACTACCACTTCACTAATAACGAAAGATTTATTTGAAAGTTTGATGCGCGCAGAGTGCGCTGTCCTTTACAACATCATAACGTATCGAAAACGTTGAAAATTGACCATGAAACACACATATTCGGATAGCGCATTCTTTTCTGATCAATATCCACCCAAAACATTATCAAAAAGTCAATAAACTTCCGTGAAAATGACTCAGGCATACCACCGTGTTTCGTTAACGTTAGACATATTTTCCGATGAAATCCGATCGATGGCTTATAGCCGGCATGTCATTAAACTTTTGCCAATCAGTCAGCACGGCATAGGCTACAAGGCACCGCCCGCTTAGGGATATCGCCAGACCCTTGAAAATTGTACTTGCATATAACTCAGCCGTTTCTGGGCCGATTGCGCTGAAACTTGGACTGTCGGCAGGCAGGGCACTCACCAAGCGATGTAGGTCCATGTGTCACAGGTGGGGTGGACTCGCGCACGTGCGCACGTGAGGGGGTCTGCTTCTACATCTGATGAATCCCTGGGTCGATTTCAATCAAATTTTGTACACTGTTAGGGACAATTTAGACAGGTGGCTCACTTAGGGACAATTTAGACAGGTGGCTCACATAAGTCATCTGGAGTCTCAGTAAGCGCGTGCGCACGTGCAGGGGGGTCCATATATATATATATATATATATATATATATATATATATATATATATATATATATATATATATATATATATAGGGTAGGGTTAGGATATATATATATATATATATATATATATATATATATATATATATATATATATATATATATATATATATATACATATTAGGGCATGAGTATGCCCTATTCAGGTAATGGGTACCCATGTACCCTACTGTCAGGTAGGGTAGGGTTTTCTATTGCGTGTTTTTCTATTGCGATACAGTGTGCACTCAGGTGGCTTCCTTCGACAAAAGCGACATTGCGGTACAGTATGCTAGCAGGCGTTTGATTTCGACAAAAGCGACATTGCGGTACAGTATGCTAGCAGGCGTTTGATAGTTCTGCCATCTAGCGCGTAAAAGGAAAGGTGGGGCGGCGCACGCGACATTGCGGTACAGTGTGCACTCAGGCGGCTTTATTCGCCAAAAGCGACATTGCGGTACAGTATGCAAGCAGGCGTTTGATGGTTCTGCCTTCTAGCCCGTTAAAGGAAAAGTGGGGAAAAGGAAAACCCGAATTCCTTTTTAGGATTCGGGTCCAACTCACCCTGAAAATGTTAAGGCCTGGCCACAGCGCACGCAGAAAATGTACATACCTATAGTATAGCCAGTCCCTTACACTACACATCAAAAAGTGACCGTCTGTCTCGTAGGGCTCAGATACTGTCAGGTGGATTGAGTCCCTACCCCTGCGCCCCTTATGCCGCAAAAATAAGAAGATTTAAACGATACTAAATGCTTATGTTATAATATTAAAACGCTTATCACACTAATGATGGTATAAAATAAATAAATAAAAGTGGATCGCACTTCGTTATAATAGACAATAATTCTTTTTTAAATAAAAATACTAAATGATTGTCACATTAACGCTGTTAATGCATAACCATTGCGGTTATTCTGCCTGGGGGATCGATAAACGCCATAAGCAGTGAACGCAAACAAATTACTTAATTAAGAGGAACCAGTGGGTAAATAGCATAACTCATCTGATTCAGAGGATGCTTGAGTAAAAATAACGAATGGAATGCAACAATATACATATCTTTTTATTTCATATTTAGACGTATTATGCGCATTTGCCGCTTTGAAATATTTTGTTTACATTTCGCGTCCTTCAGTGAAAACCGGTGTAGACGGTATTATCCGTGACAGCTCCCGTTGTTTCCTACCACCATGAGAATGCCTTTGTATATAGCGTTATTTATTGTGCAGTGTTGTGTGAAGGAGTGTTTCGTGTTGAATTGTGTGGTGTGAGAGCGTTTCGTGAATGCCTGGGCGCGCGGGCCAAGCTGCCCGTGAGCGGAACGCGGCCGCCCAGCGGCGGCGTCGTGAGCGCCTGCGGCAGGCCCAGCGTGAGGCCGAGGCTCTGCGCCTGGCCGCCGAGCGTGCCGCCGAGCGGGGGGAGGCGGCGGCGGACCGTCCCGCCCAGGACGTGGCGGACGGCGCCGTCGATGACTCTGACGGGGAGCAGGCGGAGGCCGAGCGGGAGGCCGCTCGGGAGAGGCAGCGTCAGCGCCGCGCCGCGATTGATGATGCAGAGCGGGAAGCGGTGCATCTGCTGAACGTAGAACAGCAGCGTCAGCGTCGTGCCGACCTGCAGGAGGAGGAGCGGGAAGCCGAGCGACAGCGGGACGTAGAACGGCAGCGTCAGCGCCGCGCCGACCTGCCAGAGGAGGAGCGGGAGGCCGAGCGACAGCGGGACGTAGAACGGCAGCGTCAGCGTCGTGCCGACCTGCAGGAGGAGGAGCGGGAGGCCGAGCGACAGCGGGACGTAGAACGGCAGCGTCAGCGTCGTGCCGACCTGCAGGAGGAGGAGCGCGCGGCAAGGCGTGCTGCCGACGCGGCGGCGGCGGCGCGGCGGCGGAGGGCGGCGCGTGAGCGCGGCAACCGGTCCGCCTGCGATGCCGAGGCAGTGCTAAGTGGCCGGCAGCAGGTCGCTGTCCAGGACTTGGGGCAACGGAACATCAACTGCGAGCACTGTGGCGCACTGCGCTGGCCGTCGGAGCGCGCCACTCTGTGCTGCCAGGCCGGCAAGGTGCGGCTGGAGCCCGTGCCGGCGCCACCGGCTCTCCTGCGGCGCCTGTGGACGGAGGACGACCTGCTGGCCCGCACTTTCCGAGAGCACTCCCGCCGCTTGAACACGGCGCTCAGTCTCGCCTCAATGACGACGCGGGAGGTGCGGCCGGCGGACGGTGGCTACGCGCCGTCCGTCGTGATCCAGGGCCGCCTCTACCACCGGATCGGCCCGCTGGAGGCTGGCGACGGCCACGAGCCATCGTTCGCCCAAATTTATGTGAACGACCCGGCCTGCGCAGACCCGGCGACGGAGGCGGCCATGCGGCTCGGCCACGTGCCGCTGCCGCGAGCCACCAGCCCGGCGGTGCGGCAGCGCCTCCTGACACTGCTGGAGGACCTGCAACTCCTGTTACGCGAGGTAAACCCTTACGTGCAGGATTTCATCCTGGCCTCCGAGCTGCCCGAGGACCAGGTGGACCAGCAGCAGCTGGTCATCAGCGCCGAGGCCCGCCCGGCCGACCAGCACCGCCGGCGCTACAACCCTGCCGAGGGGTTCAGGGAGGTGGCCGTGCTCATCGGCGACGAGCCCGTCCATCAGGACATTGTTCTGCGGCGTCGGGCCGGTGCTGACGGCCCGGCGCTGCAGACGATCAACGAGACCCACCGCGCCTTTGAGGCCCTCCACTACGTCCTCCTGCTGCCCTTCGGCACCGACGGCTGGCAGCCCGGCCTGCGGCACGCGGTGCCCAACGCCCGCGGCGTGTACGGGCAGCTCACGCTGACGCAGTACTACGCGTACCGCCTTCAAGAGCGACCCGGGATGGACGACACCCTCCTGCGCGGCGCGCGTCTGCTCCAAGAGTACGTCTGCATGGCGTTCGCGCGCGTCGAGACGCAGCGACTCCTGTGGGCAGCACGCAACCAGCAGGCTATCCGCGCCGACCTGTATCAGCGCTTGGAGGACGCGCTTCCGGCGGACGCGCTCGCCGAGCAGCGCGAAGGCGAGCAGCGGCTGGGTCGGCGCATCATTCTGCCGGCCAGTTTCACAGGAGGTCCGCGCTTTTACCAGCGCCGGTGAGTTTTGCCCTATCCATAGTGATCATGAGCGAATCTCTTTTCAATATTTTTTTCGGATCATGAATTTATGTCAGTGTTTTAATCGAAAACAATGTCTGTTAACTTGGCAAAATGAGGTATATAAGTATCTGTGCAGCTTAAACTAATAACTTTTAACAAGGACATTGAGCTACTTTTACCAAATCTGTATCTAATCTGCACCAAATGCGTACCAGATAGCCGTCGTGAAAACGGCTATTAATGCAGTGATGACGGTTTGATGCATATGCCGCTACCGCGGTAACATGCTGTAAATGCATCACATTTGACTAATATATGTACAATCGGTAGCCGAGCGAGGTATCCACGTATCTACCCCTCAAAGTCAAGAGACAAATTGATATTGATTGTCATCAATGTTTCGTTTTGCAGCTACATGGACGCCATGGCGATCGTCCGGGCTCTCGGGAGGCCGACATACTTCATCACATTCACGTGCAACCCGGACTGGCCCGAGATCCGCGCGGCGCTGTTGCCCGGCCAGGACGCCCAGTCGCGGCCAGACCTGGTGGCGCGCGTGTTCGGCCAGAAGCTGCGCGTCCTTCTGGATGAGCTGACCAAGCGTGGCATCTTCGGACGATGCGTGGCTATCTTGATGGTCATCGAATTCCAGAAGCGCGGTAAGCCTAAGCAAAATCTGCTTCTTTTACACACTATTTAAACGGCGCCCGGGTTGGTCTCTCAACCAAATTCGCCATAGAGGTGGGGGGGGGGGCGTTTTGGCTACACCAGATTTTATCGGAAAGTACCTAAGCAGTGTTGTAAGACGCGGTGAATGCAATAGATACTCTTTAAGATCTTTGAGAATCATACAGGTCATTCTTTGATGATCAGGTCATGGCTGAGGTCACTGAAATATTCCGGTTCAGTGTGTCATGTTCACCTGTGTCCCGATGTTTGAGAGTGTTTTCGACCAAAAGAAGAGCATTGCAATTTTATACCATTGACTTATAATGGCGAGGTCACAAAATTTACCTGACCTTATAGGTCACCGATATCAAAATTTCGAGATATAGGTACAAATTGTTGGTACGTTGATCCCTTCATGCAATAGCCGAGTCTCAAACTTCTGGGATGTATATTGTAGGAATGACCGAGCCACAAATTTTCCAGAGGTATGGTAACTTGACCTGGTGACCTGACGTTATGTGGCCTGGGGTCAATTTTTTTACACACGATGCGAAATTGATGTGTCATAAGTGATACCAGGTTTCGCAGCGCTACGCGCCGCGGTTTTCCTTACACTTGCAAAAAAAACTGACACATGTGGCCAAAAACACCCTCTCCCTCCACCAGGGAGTTAACGGCGGTACGAATCTGACATTGTTTGCCTATACCCACGGCTGTAGGCTTTGTTTCTATTTGTTGTCGTTCAACTATCACACAATGATATCTTAATGGCTAATTGTCATGTTTTGGCCAGTCGCCGGCAGCCCAGAATATAAACGGTGCGAATTTTTACCGACGCATGTTCCGCAATGCACGCGTGTTGTGCGGTACAGTCTACCCCTTTATTACGCCGGCAAAAACTGAACGGCTAAATCGGCACCAAGATCAATTGACGCGCAATTCCGGCGATATCAATGAAGCATTGCACTGCACCATTGTGCCGCTCTCGGGTGGCTGTACTGTTTTGACAAGCGTCTGCGTGTTGTTTTCAGGGCTGCCCCACAGCCACATCCTACTGATAGTCCGTCAGGAGGATCGGCCGCGGACCGCCGACGACGTCGACGCCGTCATCTCGGCCGAACTGCCCGACCCGACGCAGTCGGACCAGGCGCGGCGGCTCCACGCCATCGTCGTGCGGTCGATGGTGCACCGGCCGTGCAACACCATGCGGCCAGCCCCGGCCTGCATCATAAACGGCCGCTGCGACAAGGGTTTCCCCAAGCCGTACGCGGCCGTCACGGAGTGGCGGGACGATTGCCCGTACCCCGTGTACCGGCGACGGGCTGCAGCAGACGGGGGACATGAGACGGCGCGCGACGGCCGGCTCATCACCAGCCAGTGGGTGGTGCCGCATTCGCCGTACCTGTCCCTCCGCTTCGACGCGCACGTCAACGTCGAGGTCTGCTGCAGCGTGCAGTCCGTTAAATACCTCTTCAGGTAAATATACTGAGAGTGTAGTGTGCCTGTTCAGAATGTCACATCGTTTTAATTCAAAGCGTCTTTTGATGCGCGCGTCTTGATGGGATGCAGCAAACGCATCATTCAAATGATGCATGTATCTATAAGTCCTATTCATGTCAGATTAAAATTAGAGTTTGATTTTATCGAGAGCTGCAAAGTGTCTTATTGTGAATCGGACCCGAACGATTGTTCTGACACATGCTGAGGGAATGTATGACCCATTCAACCCAATTTAATCCAAACTTCGACCCCGGCTAACTGTTGATCCAGCTGATCACCCATGTAATTCACGTTGATTCAGTGTAACCCAAACGGAGCCAATGTTTTCCCGCCTGCTCCTGTGACATGAATTCAGCTATCCAAGTTCTTTCGCACCTCGAGCTAGCGTGCATATTGGATTGTCTAACAGTTCGTCGATGTTTTCAGGTATATATACAAGGGCCCCGACCGGCAGATGGTGCGTGCCGACGCCCTGGTCGGCCTTGACGACGAGATCGCCGCGTACCAAGATCTCCGCTCGATTGGCGCCAGCGAAGCCTGCTGGCGCCTATTCGAGGAGCCCATCAGCCGCCAGCAGCCGACCGTGGTGACGCTGCAGGTGCACCTGCCCAACCAGCAGCTGGTGTACTTCGAGCCCGGCGGTGAGCAGCAGGCCATCGAGGCCGCCCGGCGCACCCAGCTCACCGCCTGGCTCGAGTACAACCGCGACTCGGCCGCCACCGACCCCCAGTGCCGGCAGCTGCTCTACCCGGACTTCCCGTCCGGCTACACCTGGCAGGTCGGCCAGAAAGTCTGGCGGAAGAGACGGCAGCAGCAGGCGACGGAGGCCATCGGCCGGGTGGTGTACCTGTCACCTCGGCACGGCGAGGTATTCTACCTGCGAGTCCTCCTGCACCATGTGCCGGGCGCTGCCTCCTTTGAGGATTTGCGCACGGTCGCTGGCGTGCTGTGCGCCACCTACCGGGAGGCGTGCGCGGTCAGAGGCCTCCTCCTTGAGGACCGCGAGTGGGAGGCCACCATGCGTGACGCCGCCCACGCGCAGATGCCCGCCCAGCTGCGACGCCTGTTCGGCGTCATCCTGCTCTTTTGCACGCCAGCCGCTCCGATGCAGCTCTTCGAGCGGCACCTGAACGACATGGCAGAGGATTTCGCGCGGCGGCACGCCGGTCTGCCGGACGACCTGCAGGCGACGCTGGTGCTGCTGCAGCTGGAGGAGCAGCTCCAGCAGGCCGGCAAGCAGCTGGACGAGTTCGGCCTGCCGGTGCCCACCGCCGAGCAGCGCGCGCTGGCCGCCGACCTGGAGCACGCCGACGCCGAGCGGCGACACCTGCCGCGCCTCATCCAGGAGGAGATGGAGCACGACGACGCCGAGCTGCAGGACCAGCTAGCCGCCCAGCTGCCCGTCCTGCTGCCGTCCCAGCGGGACATCTTTGACCGGGTGCTGGCGGCCGTCGACGAGCACCGACCGCTGGCCGTCTTCGTCGACGCCGCCGGCGGCACCGGCAAGACTTTCCTGTTTAATATGCTGCTGGCGGCGGTGCGCGCGCGTGGAATGGTGGCGCTCGCCGTGGCATACAGCGGCATCGCCGCGACGCTGCTGGAAGGTGGGCGCACATTCCACTCGCGCTTTAAGGCGCCGCTCAACCCCGAGGCCACGTCAACCTGCGCCATCGCCGCCCAGAGCCCGCTGGCCGATCTGATTCGGAGGACGGCCGTTATCGTCTGCGACGAGGCGCCCATGGCGCACCGTCACCTGCTTGAGGCGTTCGACAGAACGCTACGCGACGTCACCGGAGAGGACGAGCCGTTCGGCGGCAAGGTGGTCGTCCTCGGCGGTGATTTCCGTCAGATACTGCCTGTCATCAGGTGAGCATTGCTGTTTTGTCCATGTGTGTGTGTGTGTGTACATCTCAAACTGAGCAATGTCTGTGTTAACGGGGACTGATATTAAGAGCAGTCATGTGAGCTTCGGCTAATATTCGCTTTATTAAATCATCGAAAAAGAAGTTAGTAATTAATGAGAATAAAGTTGCTAAATTGCTTATAAGGCTATCATCAGTCGATAATAACCCATCAACACAGTGTGTATTCATATAGCATATTTCAGTTGTGCGTTGAAAAAAATGTTAATCAATATCATGAAATGCCAACAAAAGAATCTAAGTGTTCATTTAGAGAAATGGTTTATATGCTTATAGTCTTATTATAGATCGCTAGAACATTTTCAGCAACTTTCAGACAACTAAAAAGTTTCGACAGCAAAAGTGTGACATTTGGCTCGCTCCCCGTTTGGCAGGCACGGATCACGCGCCGCGGTGGCTGGCGCCTGTCTGCGCCGGTCGCCGCTGTGGCGCCACTTTGTAGTGGCCCAGCTGCGCACCAACATGCGCGCGCGCCTGGCCGGCGGCGAGGACGGCGCGGAGCTGGAGGCGTTCGCCGACTGGCTGCTCCAGCTGGGCGACGGCCGTCTACCCGGGCCGGAGGACGGCTTTGTCCAGCTGCCTCCTGCGCTGACCATGGACGCCGACGTCACCGCCGTCATCGACTGGGTGTTCGACGGGCTCGCCGACCACCACGACGACCACCAGTGGATGGCGTCGCGTGCCGTGCTGGCGCCGCGCAACACCCGAGTGGACGCAATCAACGCGGCCGTCACGGCGCTCTTTCCCGGCGAGGAGGTGCACCTCCTGAGCGCCGACAGCCTGGAGGAGGAGGCGGAGGACGAGCTGCCGGTACCGGTGGAGTACCTCAACACCATCGGTGCTCCCGGCCTGCCGGCGCACGACCTGGCCCTCAAGCCAGGAATGCCGCTGGTGCTGTTGCGGAACCTGGCCGCCACCGACGGCCTCTGCAATGGGACGCGCCTCATCGCCGGACGCATCCTCAGCCCCCGTCTGCTGGAGGCCACCATCGCCTGCGGGAAGCACGCCGGCCGGCGGGTGCTGATCCCTCGGCTGCCGCTGCAGCCACCGGACGGCGTGTTTCCGTTTCGCTGGACGCGCTGCCAGTTTCCAGTGCGCCCGGCCTTCGCCCTGACGATCAACAAGGCGCAGGGCCAGACGCTGGGACGGGTGGCCGTCTTTTTAGACGAGCCCGTTTTTAGCCACGGACAGCTTTACGTGGCGGCCTCGCGCGTCGGCCGAGCCGCCGACCTGCGCTTCGCCCTGCCGGCCGGCAGCCAGGGCGCCACCCGTAACGTGGTGTACGGTGAGGTGCTCGATGACTAGCCGTGCCCACGACGGCGATGGCGACAACCACGACAACGACGACGAGCTCAGGTTGTTTACCCGCAGGCATCGGTGAGCTTTGCACTACCTGTCGGGATTTCTCCTGTAAAAAAGAAATGCAGTCCGATGTGGCAGCCTCCACGCGGCGGGCTGTGGATGCTACTAATAGCCACACAAAGCTAACGGTGAGTGGTAAGTATTAAATCATGATGAATTGAAGAGGGGCCTATTTTCTACGAATTCATACAGTTTCCTCAATGTCTTTTTTATTTGCAATCGTTGTGGTGCTGTGAAGGTAAACAATGTTTTGAAACCCACCAAACTATAAAAAGCCCAAAACTGTACAAAAGGAAGCATTACGTGATAATACATTGGTTATATTTGCACAAATCACACTTAAAACAAAAATAATTTCAAAACAAACGTGTCCATCTGTATGTGTGCATATGCCCTAGAGACAGTATTGCGGTACAGTGTGCATTCAGGCGGTGATACGGCAGACGCGGCACTGCGGCACAGCGTCCATTCAGGCGCATGACACTCCTGCCATCTAGCGAGTAAAAAGGAATGTTTGGGTGGCTATGCGAGCCGCACTTATTGGGTAGGTATGGGCACTCGATTACCTACTTGGCAATCTTCAAGAGAACAACCTTTCACCATTTAAAGCATCAATAATATCCATGATATTGAACAAACGAATGTGATAGAATACAATTAGAGTAGTTTACAGCGCTGATGTTAAAACCGTATGTATGTTGTGTTACGACTTGCTGGTTGTTATAGGAGTGCACTAGAATAAGGTGGGAATAGAGCCTATGAGTAGCGTATGGGTGTAGGTAGGGTATAGGTAGGGTAGGATATGTATATGGGTAGAATAAGGCTTTTTGCGGCGTTCCCGATTGGCGGCGGGAGGGCGTGCGATGCGGGCGATTTTCATTTGTTGTGGCATTTGCGGTTGGCGGCGGGCGATGCGGGCGATTCTCATTTTTCGAGGCGTTTGCGGTTGGCGGCGGTCGGGCGGGCGATGCGGGCGGTTTTCATTTTTTTGCGGCGTTTGCGGTTGGCGGCGGGCGGGCGCGCGATGCGGGCGGTTTTTATTTTTGCGGCGTTTGCGGTGTTGTTTTGCGGTTGGTGGCGGTCGTTTTTTTTTTGCGGCGTTTGCGGTTGGCGGCGGGCAAATAACGGCCCGCATCGGGCGGGCGATGCGGGCGGTTTTCATTTTTGCGGCGTTTGCGGTTGGCGGCGGGCGGGCGCGCGATGCGGGCGGTTTTCATTTTTCGAGGCGTTTGCGGTTGGCGGCGGGCGGTTTTCATTTTTTGCGGCGTTTGCGGTTGGCGGCGGGCGGGCGCGCGATGCGGGCGGTTTTTATTTTTTGCGGCGTTTGCGGTGTTGTTTGCGGTTGGAGGCGGTCGTTTTTTAATTGTGCGGCGTTTGCGGTTGGCGGCGGGCGGGCGTGTTTTTCTTTAATAATTCAATGTCCAAACTTTTGGATCCGTAGTGCTCCTCGAAAAGCCATGCCTACCTACCATTACTATACATTTAGATAAAGTAACTATCAAACTCAACCCTACTTATATAAACATACAAACCAAACTAATGGCCCCATCAACAATATCTATCCAAACGTACAGTTATCGCGTAAACCTGTATTCTAGTCGGATATATTATAAAAGAGAAGTTGTCTGTGTGTCACAAACGAAAAGTGTCATCGACATCTGGGTGTCTTGCGCCGGAACGGCGCCATGTAGGGGCGTGAAATTTGGCAGTCGACAAGCGTGGTCAAATCGAACGATGGTATTAAAATCTGGGTGCGATCCGACCAGGGGTGCGTCTCTGGCGGCGTCGCGAGCACGAGGCACGCTCGCCATTGGTTTAGCACGCGGCGCGAAAAATGGCGATATCGGCCAAAATCGGTCCGACGCGTGCTCCCTTCCGGGCCTATATCTTGACGACCAGTTGTCACAGCGACACGCGGTTGCCACCGATCGATAGAGGAGAGATGAGCCTAGCGTATTGATGTGGTTTTATAACGTTGGGCGCGTCACGTGCACATCAGGACCAATTGTTGTGAAAAAAATGACCGATTTCGTGCCTCGTGGAGGAAAAATCAGTGCCGTTTGAAAACGGTTTGACCGAATGAAATCGGTGTGGTACCATTTTTTAGGTAATTGCACGTGTGATACAATGAATGAAAAGAAAAAGTGATTGTTGCTACCACTTCCTTAATAATGAGAAATTTATTTGAAAATTTGATGCGCGCCGAGTGCGCTGTCCTTTACAACATCATACCGTATCGAAAACGTTGAAAATTGACCATAAAACACACATATTCGGATAGCGCATTCTTTTCTGATCAATATCCACCCAAAATATTATCAAAAAGTCAATAAACTTCCGTGAAAATGACTCAGGCATGCCACCGTGTTTCGTTAACGTTAGACATATTTTCCGATGAAATCCGATCGATGGCTTATAGCCGGCATGTCATTTAACATTTGACCATCAGTCAGCACGGCATAGGCTACAAGGCACCGCCCGCATAGGGATATCGCAAACCCTTGAAAATTGTACTTGCATATAACTCAGCCGTTTCTGGGCCGATTGCGCTGAAACTTGGACTGTCGGCAGGCAGGGCACTCACCAAGCGATGTAGGGTCATGTGTCACAGGTGGGGTGGACTCATGCACGTGCGCACGAGAGGGGGTCTGCTTCTACATCTGATGAATCCCTGGGTCGATTTCAATCAAATTTTGTACACTTTTGGGGACAATTTAGACAGGTGGCTGACATAAGTCATCTGGAGTTTATTAAGGGCGTGCGCACGTGCAGGGGCCCATTTATACATATCTCAAGAACAGGTCTGACGATAACACTCAAATTTGGTAAAACTCTTCGGTCAAGTATGAGTAGGGCATGAGTATGCCGGGTATAGGTAGGATACGGTATGGCAAGGGTAGGGTATGGGTAGGGTAGGGTAGGGTACGTATGGGTAGGGTAGGGTAGGGTACGTATGGGTAGGGTAGGGTAGTGTATAGGATAGAGATAGGTTTGAGTATGGGAAGGGTATGGTAAAGTATGGGTATGGTAAGGTATAAGGTAGAGGTAGGTTTGCCGTTTGGGTAGAGTAGGATAAAGTTGGGTATGGTAGAGTATAAGGTAAACGTAGGGTATGGGTAGGGTATGAGTAGGACTAGGGTATGGGTAGGTTATGTATATTGGTAGGGTAGGGTAGGGCCTTTTGCGGCTTTTTCGATTGGCGGCGGTTAGGCGTGCGATGCGGGCGGTTTCCTTTGTTGCGGCGTTTGCGGCGTTTTGCGGTTGGCGGCGGGCAGGCGTGCGATGCGCGCGTTTTTTTGCGGCGGTGTTTGCGTTTTTGCGGTGTTTGCGTTTGTCGTCGGGCGGCCGTTTTTTGCGGCGTTTTGCGGCTGGCGGCGGGCAGGCGTGCGATGCGGGCGGTTTTTTTGCGGCGGTGTTTATGTTTGGCGGCGGGCGGGCGGGCGATGCGGGCGGTTTTGATTTGTTTGCGGCGTTTTTGCGTTTTTTGCGGTTTGCGACGGGGGGCAATTTTTTATTTGTTTTAATTGATTGCGACGTTTGCGTTGGCGTTTCGGGCAAGCGTTTTGCGCGTTTTGCGTTTTGGGTCGGGCGGGCGCTTTTTGTTTCCTTTTTACGGTGTTTGTGTTTGGGGCGAGCGGGCGCTTTTTTGCGGTGTTTGCGTTTGGTGGCGGGCGGGCGATTTTTAGGCGTTTTCGGTTGGCGGTTTGCGTGCGTGCGATGCGGACGTTTTTTCGGAGTTTCTGCGTTTTTGCGTTGGGCGGGCGATTGTTTATTTTTTGCGACGTTTGTCGGGCGTGCCTTTCGCGCATTTTGCGGTTTTAGTGTTTGGCGGCGGGTGGCCGTTTTTCGAGGCGTTCGCGGTTGGCGGCGGGCGGGCGTGCGATGCGGGCGGTGTTCATTTTTGCGGCGTTTGCGGTTGGCGGCGGGCGGGCGCGCGATGCGGACGGTTTTTATTTTTTGCGGCGTTTGCGGTGTTATTTGCGGTTGGAGGCGATCGTTTTTTATTTTTTTGCGGCGTTTGCGGTTGGCGGCGGGCGGGCGTGTTTTTTTTAATCAATTCAATGGCCAAACTATTGGATCCGTAGTGCTCCTCGAAAAGCCATACCTACCTACTTACAATTAAATAAAGTAACTATAAAACTCAACCCTACCTATATAAGCATACAAGTTTTGACATCCAAACTAATGGCCCCATCAACAATATCTATCCAAACGTACAGTTATCGCGTAAACCTGTATTCTAGTCGGATATATTATAAAAGAGAAGTTGTCTGTGTGTCACAAACGAAAAGTGTCATCCACATCTGGGTGTCTTGCGCCGGAACGGCGCCATGTAGGAGCGTGAAATTTGGCAGTCGACAAGCGTGGTCAAATCGAACAATCGTATTAAAATCTGGGTGCGATCCGACCAGGGGTGCGTCTCTGGCGGCGTCGCGAGCACGAGGCACGCTCGCCATTGGTTTAGCACGGGGCGCGAAAAATGGCGATATCGGCCGAAATCGGTGCGAAGCGTGCTCCTTTCCGGGCTTATATCTTGACGACCGGTGGTCACAGCGACACGCGGTTGCCACGGTTCGATAGAAGAGAGCTAAAGCTAGCGTATTGATATGGTTTTATAACGTTGGGCGCAGCACGTGCAAATCAGGACCAATTGTTGTGAAAAAATGACCGATTTCGTGCCTCGTGGAGGAAAAATCGGTGCCGTTTGAAAACGGTTTGACCGAATGCAATCGGTGTGGTACCATTTTTTAGGTAAATATATGACAAAATGGATGATGGTAAACAAAAAGTGGTTATGTCTACCATTTCCTTTATAATGTAAAATTAATTTGAAAATTTGATGCGCGCAGAGTACGCTGTCCTTTACAACATCATAACGTATCGAAAATGTTGAAAATTGACCATGAAACGCACATATTCGGATAGCGCATTCTTTTCTGATC